TAATTAGTATATGCCAGTTGTGTTGAAATAATTCCAATATAAGTCATAATACTCTTACGTTGTTCCTTTTTTTCTTTTTTGTTTGTTTGCTTGCTTCCTTGCCATTTATTTTGAAAATAGCTCATGCATCCTCTTTGATCATTTCTATCCTTCAAGACACCTTAGGATCTAGAGCTGGATAGATAAAAGTAGAATCTCTAATTAAGAAGACTTCTCCTCCAAACCCTACCTCATCCCAGTATCATCACTGTTAGGAATAGACCCTCTGTCTTCAAGACTGATTTTACTTCCCCATTTATTAGGCTATTATGCTTTTTGATCATACCCAGCTCCTTACTGAGGAAGTATAAAATATAATCTTGTTTTCATTTTGTAGATGGGAAAATTAAAGGCTGGGGAGGTGAAATACCATGTTCAAGATTGAGCAATAATCAGAGGCAGATCAGGAACTTAAATCCTGGGTTTCTGACGTCAAGGATAAGAACTCTTGGCGCGGTGGCTCACGCCTGTAATCCTAGCACTCTGGGAGGCCGAGGCGGGCAGATTGCTCGAGGTCAGGAGTTCGAAACCAGTCTGAGCAAGGGCAAGACCCCGTCTCTACTATAAATACAAAGAAATTAATTGGCCAACTAATATATATAGAAAAAAATTATCCGGGCATGGTGGCACATGCCTGTAGTCCCAGCTACTTGGGAGGCTGGGGCAGCAGGATTGCTTGAGCCCAGGAGTTTGAGGTTGCTGTGAGCTAGGCAGACACCACGGCACTCACTCTAGCCTGGGCAACAAAGCGAGACTCTGTCTCAAAAAAAAGAATAAGAACTCTTAACAATAGCTCTCACCCCAGCCTTTGCTTATACTTTAGGGCAAACCCAGCTCATTTCCATAAGACTTGGACTTCCACGCTTCCCAACGGGGATAACAATCTCTGCTTATCTCAAATGGTGTCCTTTGGATGTGCTGCAGGAATCTGGGGGCATGGCATTTCATCTGGGTGCCCCAGACAAATGGAAATTGAAAGTCATTTGTGGGGACGGCGGCATCAGCCATGCCTGTCCACTTCCAGAAAATCCATCTGCCTCAGGCTCTTGAAGCTGAGCTCATTTCTTCCAAAAGGAAAAGAAAGTTTCTGGCATATGAGAGCTCAACTGGGGAAGACAGACTTTGCTAACACCACCCCACCCATATCAAGTCTCCTAGGTGGACAGAGCAGACTTCTAAATGTGTCACCATATGAAAGGGAATGGATCTGAAATGAGGAATTCCCTCCTGCTAGGGGAAGATGAGGTGGGACGGAGAAATCAGAAAGCCCAGTGCACTTTCACAGCAAGCCAGTCACCGCCGGTATCTCAGCTGCTTCTCCTTTGCCCTAAGACATAATCTGCAGAAAATTTTCAAGGGGTACAGAGTCTAAACTACATTTGGACAAGAATGTGTGCATCAGGGATGCCAAATCTTAGTGACTCATGCATTCAACAAATATTCGTCAAAAGTCTATTAGATTTTTAGGATGTGTTCGCATACGTGTGTGTGTGTGTGTGTGTGTGTGTGTGTGCAAAATTGTCACATTGCCCTTCCCAATTAAATGTATTATTATCAATGTCACCTAGCTACTATGTGGAAGTCAGGGTGACAGGGTGACAATTTGTCTTTGGTATGGACTTCAAACTCTTCACTCAGTGCCCAGCACAAAGCATTCAGGGAGCACCAAGTAAATTGATGTAATGAAAACAAGAAGACCAGTTTTGTTTTATTGTTTTGTTGTTGCTGTCTTTGTTTTTCCTGGCCACACATTTGTATTCCATTCCTCACTCTGTTCTCTTCAGCGCTTGGGGCAGAGGGAGTCGAGAGGGAGAGAGAACTCCCCAGATGCAGACTGGCAGATGTAGCTGACGCCCCCCGGGACACCAGTAGCAACAGAAACTGAATAGCAGAGTCCAAGGATGTTATTTTAAAAAAGGGACTCACAAGAGCTTTGTCAGCAGAATCTTGGAGAAGAAACCAGGCATCTCCATAGCCCCCTTTTCTCTCGCTTTCTAACACCATTTCTTTTCTGTCCTTTAACGCTTCCTCTGCCTGTCTATTTATCATCTGTCTGCCTACCTACATACCTATTTAGCTGCCTTCGTCTATCGCTGTCTCTGCTGATTCCAAGCAGACAGATGTATTGTGGTCTTAAACATGATCAGGAAGAAATTAACGCAATGATAAACGCAACCCTAGCCCCAATTCCTGCCACTCTGAGAGGTTCTTTTTGTTTTTTTGTGGTTTTTTTCCCTTAAGGAAGTGAATTATGTCATCCTAGAGAATAAATCTTATTATAATCTTACCCGATTTGCCTTTGTATTGGAGGAGGAGAGAGTGGTGCCAAGAGTCAGGCAACCCCATGATCTGATTCTCTAGAGGTTGTGTTTTCATCATTCTGGAGATACTGCATGTGGGGGGGGGCAATTTCTCTGCTTGGTGTAAGAAGGCAACCTCTTGCTCTGCTACCAGCTCTCTCTGTGATGGGGATTCAGATGGCTTCCTCCTCTAGCTCTCAGTTTTCCATTGGATACAACGGGTGCAGGGGCTGGTGTTGCACACCTCATCTTATGCAATCACTGCTACGATGCTGGGTAAAGATCATTACCTCTGTTTATTTTATTTTTTTCAAATGAGGAAAATTAAGTTCGGAGAGGTTAGATTATTTTATTTAAGTCCTACACAGCTTATATGTGGCAGACTCAGGACATATATACACACCTCTGCCTAAAGTCAAAATATTTGTTCCTTGCAGTCCCCTTTATTGGGTTTCTAAAGAGTAAAGTCTGGGTGTATGGCTGGCCGTCCTTGAGTTGGGCCTAAGTTATATTTTATGCAGGTTGGCCATAGTCACCAAGAGGCTGAAGCTACTGAGAAGTGCTGAGCCTGTATTCTTTCCATGGTCGAACTGCCAGGCACGCTACTGGTCACTGGAGTCCTCAGCTGGCTTAAACCCATCCTTAAATAATTGAATTATAATGAATTGATTTATTCTGGCTCTTTTGACAGTATTTTATTATGTAAACTGTTTGCAGAAATAAACAAAGGATTTTGGACCTTGGAAAGGGCTCAAGATTCTGCTGCCCCTGAATTCAATGACTCCTTTTTCGGATAATCAGCATCGTAGAAATGCAAGTCTTATTTCTCCTTGACCCTGGCTCTTTCTAGCTGGGGGAATGTTGCTTGAAAGTGTTTCAAGTGAGTACTGATTTCACAAGCTGATTTAATTCAGCCACTTAGGAGCAAATCAACCCCTTAGAAGAGGAGTATTTTTTCTGTTCACGATTATTTTAGAATCCACAAAGCACATTTATGTTCATTTCCTGTGAGAGTTCTGGGATTATCCCAAGAGGTTATCCTGGCTGGGACTATAATTTCTACATTATAGATGGGGAGCTGGAAGCTGAAAAGTGAAGCCAGTTGCACAAAGTTACATAGCTAACATAAGGGACAGAAATTAAACCTTAGTCTTTGGCCATAAATTCAGTGCCTTCTCCAGAACTTCACTCCATTCTTTCTGGGAAGGATATGTTAGATTAGGCAGGATCCTTAGGGTGACTACACATTCCGATTTGCCTGAGATATTCAGATTTTCTCAGGATATGTGCCTATCGCCTGGACATACTTGTGAATAGCACCACTAAGCACTCTCAAATGCTCTAGTTTAGGTGATAAATTATACAGCAACCCTAAGACACTGGATAGGGACCACATTTCAAGGAGCTTAGAATCTTTCAGAGGAGCTGCATCGCGTAGACTTAATAGCAGCACAGTGTGAGAAGTGTTAAAGTGGGATTCTTTATGAAATAGGCACCCACACAGGAGGGGGTATTTAGCTTTGCTTAGAAAAGTTGGGAAAATAGCACAGAAGAGCTGACATGAGAGTTATTAAAAGATGGGCAGGATGAGCTATTTTGGATGGCCACATCTAGGTTTCTTCTTGTATTGTTCTGTGTTGAAACATCAAGAAACATGCATAGGTCATACTTGCTTAGCTGGCCCCCTACTGCGGGCCTTGTGCTTCTGTGTGATCCTTGTCCTTGCCGCTAAGTGCGAATCATTGCAGCCAGCTACAGCTTTACATCATGCCATCAGAAACGCTGGCTGCGGTTTGGATTATATGGGAGCTTGAGAATTCACCGGGTCTTTAACTGAAACTTCCAAGGTATCTGACAAGCTCTCGGAAGCCCAGAGCGTTGGACAGGAAGGGTTCTTGGAGTCCCAGTAGTCTCATCACCTTCTCTGTTCTGGTTGAGCCCAGAGAGGGAAAGAGACTTGCCCAAAGTAACAGAGCACTTCAGTTTCAGAGCCAGGACTGAAGCCAGTTTCTCTTGTAGATCAGTTCTTTTTTTCCATAAAACTGAAATCTTCTTTGGAGTTAAATCAGCTCCATTTGCGGAAGATTAGAATAATAAACCTTCTGCACAAAGTTGTTGGGAGGCTCACTTGGGCTAATGAGAATGAAAGTGGTTGTGAACTTTTTCTTTGTATTGTGGCCAAAAAAAAACACACAACATGAGATCTCTACCTCCTTAGCATAGTTTTAAGTGTACTGTGCAGTGTTGTTCACTGCGAGCACAATGCACAGTGGATTTCTAGAACATTTCATCTCGTGTGATCGAATCTTCATTCTCATTGAAATGCAGCTCTCTATTTCCCCTCCCCCGAGACCCGAGGGACTAGCATTTTACTCTCTGTTTCTATGAGTTTCTCGACTTTAGATGCCTCACATGAATGGAATCATGCAGTATTTGTCCTTCTGTGGCTGGCTTGTGTCACTTGGCACAGTGTCCACCAGGTTCTTCCGTGTTTTTGCACATGACAGGATTTCCTTCTTTTTGTAGGCTGCGTAATTTTCTGTTGTGATCGACAGTGCTGATGGTTTTGGATGTCTGATTCCACAGTCGCTCATGAAAGCTGAGGCTAAAGAACAGATATCTATCTAATCTCTCCCCTTCTATGTCCATCATCTCCTGCAGAGGAACCCAGCCGGTGCTATTTCCACGATGGTGATGGAGTATGTGAAGAGTTTGAACGAAAAACTAGCATTAAAGACTGTGGTGTCTACACGCCCCAGGGCTTCCTCGATCAGTGGGCATCCAACGCGTCAGTATCCCATCAAGACCAGCAGTGCCCGGGCTGGGTCATCATCGGACAGCCAGCAGCGTCCCAGGTAAAATCCCAGCCATGTGCAATGTTTCCCACAGACACTGCCCACCATGAAGGCAGTGTCATTGGATGTGGCCACTCGAGCATATCTTTAGCCAAACGCAATGTTAGGTCCTCCTGAGTACCATGCATAAAGGATTAGCTACGGAATGGTTAGGGTAAGGAGCATGAGCACAGTAGGGGTAGTGACTGTCCTTCTAGTTCTTTACCTGTTATTATGCAAATTTGGGGAAATAACTCTATTTTGGATATACCCATGGAATTCAACAAGGTAAGAATGAATTCATTTTAAAAGTCCCACTTTTTTTTGGGGGGGTGCCAAATTGTGTGCTCCCTGAATGAACAGTAACCCTACCATGATTTGCCACATGGCCTTAGACTGCTTTCCCCATTTCTCTGGGCCCCATTTTTTCCCATCCTCAAAACAGAGAATAGTTGAGTTTGGTGATCTCCAAGGATCTTCCCAATTCTAAGAAGCTGTGACTCATCCTGAAGTCCCCGACTGCACTATTTATGTGCCACGGCTCTTTCCCAGGAGACTGGCAGCTTAGCTGAGGGAGCAAGAGTGTTGGGGCCACCAGAGCTGTGTGATTCTAGTGATGGCCGTGCTGTCCCCAGAGCCCCCTTTCCAATTATCCTGCCGAGCGAGCACCTGCCTTCTTCCGAGACTCCCAGTTCCCAGAGACATGACTCAGTGCTTGTGCCCGCCTTGCCTAGTGGCCGTTTCTGAGACCAGCCTGCCTCCTGGCCTTGCAGATGAGCCATTATTCCCAGACAGCCCTCTCTAATGTCGCCTCCGTGAGACAGGTTCAGTGGGTGGGGCTGGCTTCAAGACGAAAGAGAGATAAGACATTGTCTGGAGCTCACGGAGGAATCACTGGGTGAGGTACAGGATAGCACCACCTCCTTTCTTAGTAAGAACATTTATTTGATCATCTCTTGGTTCATTTTCTCTTGTGTTTACATTATTAGATCCTTTATTTATTCATTTATGTTTATTTTTTTAGACAAGGTCTTGCTCTGTCAACCTTGGCTAAAATGCAGTGACATCATCATAGCTCACTACAGCCTCAAACTCCCGGGCTCAAGTGATTCTCCTGCCTCAGCCTCCCTAGTAGCTGGGACTATAGGTGCATACCACCATACTCAGCTAATTTTTAAGAACTTTTTTGCAGAGACAAGGTCTTCCTCTCCCTCAGGCTGGTCTCAAATTCCTGGTCTCAAGCAATCCTCCCACCTCTGCCTCTCAAAGTGATAGGATTACGGGCTGTAGCCGCCAAGCCTGGCCCCATTGTGTTTATTTTTGAATGCTGCGAGGAGAGGGGAAAGAAATGGGAACATGGCATTGCCCAATGCCTCTCCCGTACAGGGCCAGCCTGTTGAATGAATGAATGATGCATGCATGCATGAGTGACTATGGTTCATCCTCCCCCTGCGCTGTCTCTGTGCTTGATAAACTCATCTGTGTGGTTGCATTTATCACGCTGAACTCTTAAGTATCTGTTTGTGTGTCTGGCTTCCCCATTAGGCTATTAGCTCTTTGGAAACAGGTTTAAGTTTTATTCATCTTTGTCCCCTCATCTTCCATGTCCTGCTTCCGGAACAACAGGGCTGAGGCCAGCAATAGAACCCAGTTCCTAAAAGTATTTAAAAGGCATCACTCAAACAAGAGAATTGTTAACACACTCGGAACCTCGCAGGAACAAAAGTTGAGGTAGCAGCTGTGCTTAAAAATCACCCAAAGGTTATTGCTACTAATGTGAGAAAAGGAGAGAGATAATTTTCCAGTCTCAGCATTTGAAAAGAGGCTTCGTGGGGCAATTATTCCAGTCTTGCAAGGTGGGGGCTGTCAGGAATTACAGGCGATGATCTCTACCTAAACAAAAATCCAATTTAAAAAGAAATCATTATAAATACTAGCTCTTCGATCTACAAAGAGGAGATGAGGAAACAAAATCATCCTATTGAATTATTCATTGTAACCAATTTTATTTTAATGAAATCGACTAGGTTCCATTACTCTGGGCTTGGACATAATCTTTGTTACAAGGAGACTTCAGCTGTAACTAAATTTGCCATAATGAGATCAGCTCACTGGAGAATACAGGGTCAGGGGAGGGGACATGTGTGCAGGCTGGGTGGAGGGCCAGGCAGAGCGCGGCAGAACAAAAGTCTCCTGAATTCCTCATCTGAAAGCAAATAGCTAGAAGTCGTTCACGCACACATACACGCCCTCACCACCCCACACAGGTGCACATGCATGCACATGTACATGCATGTACACTCACACGCACACACACACACACACACACGCGCGCGTACACACACATACACACACACACACACAGGCTGCATAATTCAAGGAAAAGGCTATTCCTGAAGTGCAAACGTAGCTCCCTTCTGACGACAGAGCGTGAGGAGGAAGTAGAACCATGCCCTTCATTACCTTGCACAGTGATTAGAGGAGACTGATAGTTAATTTTCACCCTGTCAGGGCCTCTAGTGAAGATGTTGATGGCTTGAAAGGAGGAGCTGGGAGGCTCTTAGCAATTGGGCTTCCGAATAAAATGGGAAGATGTACCATGTGCCCCTCATTTCCCCCCAACATGCTCATACACACTCCTCTTTCTCTTCCCCTCTCCTTCTGTCTCTCTCTCTCTCTCTCACACACAGACACACAGACACACACACCCGCAAGTCATCTATGAATACGCCCCGTAGGAGCATGAGCTCAGAGAGTGAGTACTAAAGCAGATAGAAGAGGTGCTAGTAGTTATCACGGTCCACCAGCCACTGTGCTGGACACATAGACACACCTTATAGCCAATCCCTTTGCCATTCTTCAAGGGAGGCATTATTATCTACCTTGGGGAAACTGAGAAGCGCAGTGGCTTCCCCGATAAGTCACACAGCCCATAAGGGGAGAATCTGGTATTTGGAGAATCTCTTGGAAGATGACATTGGGAGATTGGGAACATGAGGTCATATCTAAAAGTTGTAGGTAACTGGAAAACATTACCAGGAAACAGAAAAGAGTCCTAGATGGATAGATCTCAGTGTTGAGTGTCACCGTGAAGACCCCATGAGGTACTCGAATTCTCCTGGAACTGACTCAGAGTCACTGCCCTCACCTGCAAATTCAAGCTGCTCCCACTTCCTGCCAAGGTGGCCGTGTCCTGTGACCCCCTGGTATTGGCAAGGACACTCTGTTAAACTTGGGGAATGATGAAAGGACCAAGTTTTCCCATTCCCTCCTTAGAATCCAGTTTTTTCTTATTCTCTGCCTTTCCCTGATGATTTAAAAATGATAAATGCAGGTGTTTATTGGGGTTATGTGCCCAGCTCTTTGCTAGAGCCTGCGGAAGAAACCAAAGAAATGGAAGACCCAGCCTTTGACCTTGTCACCGTGGAGGACTGAGGTGTGAGAATTCTTGTCAAGAGGCGCAGCCTTAGCACAGTAAGTCTGCAGGATCTCTGTGACGACTACGAAGAAGCAACACTTGCTGTGCTGTACGGGTCGAGAATGCTGACCGAAACTTCAGTTTTGGTTCTGGAGAAGCCTGCCGCTGCTAATGGTTTCCAGTCTCTCTCACGCATTCTCCTCAGACAAGATTCCCAAATTTGGTTAGGGCAAAGCTAACCCTGAACATTGAGTCTCCTATCCAGACGTTATCAGAAGTATCAAAACTTCCTGGTTGTGCAAATTGGGCTGAACATCCTATCATAAGAGACATTCTTTGGATGTTTTGGCCATGCACCTTCCTGGCCCAGCTGGAATCAAGAAGTTCCTGAGACAGAACAAAAATGGAAATGAACCGAAAAAAGTCAAGCTATCTCCCTTCTGGGAACCTCCGAACCTGGTTTAGTTTAAGAGCTTGCAAGGATCTCGTCTTGTTCTTATTTGGTCTCCATGTTTCACATTTCTCTAATGCTTTACACAGAAGGCTGCCAAAGTGAGGTGTAGATATTCCTTCCTTCTGCCTCCAGCCCCAGCATTTCTTCTAAAGCCCCAAAGTCCGGTTCCTTCTACCCAAACAAGCACTGCCCTCCTTTTCAGTGGCCCGCGGAGGAAATGGATATACTATCTGGAATGTACAGCGCTCTCCTAGAGATTACAGACCTTCAGTCAACCAACCGATTTATTTGGTTAATCCTTTGAGGGTAAAACTTAGACTAAGCATTTCCAGGGGCAGTCGTGTGAGGGCCAAAGTAAAGAAAATCTTTCTAAGAATGAGAACTCTCCGCAGTAGGGTGGAGTGCCTTGTGATATAGGAAGTTCCATGTCCTGCAGCACGCAGGCTGGGCTGCCTATCGAAGAGATTTCTGCATTCAAGGGCAGGTGAGACCTGGGCATCTCTCCTTTCATCGTGATTGATTCTCTGACTTTATAGTCCACGAACCCATCATTGGGTATATCAGTTGTTTGCGGCTTCACTTCGAGTTGCTATTATTATTCCTTGGCACATTGATAATAGTTTGTGTCTCTAGTAAAATACAAACCATATATATCCTGAGTTATAACAACTTATGTACTCATTGATTCATCTGATCAAATAGGAACATATTGGAAGCAGGGTGTGGTGCTCACTCCTGTAACCTTAGCACTTTATGAGGCCGAGGCAGGTGGATTGCTTGAGGTCAGGAGTCCGAGACCAGCCTGAGCAAGAGTGAGACTCCATCTCTACTAAAAATAGAAAAATTAGCTGGGCATGATGGCGTTGCACCTGTAGTCCCAGCTACTTGGAGGCTGAGACAGGAGGATCGCTTGAGCCCAGGAGTTTGAGGTTGCAGTGAGCTAAGATGATGCCACAGCAGTCTAGCCAGGGAGATAGTGAGACTCTGTCTCAAATATATATAATATATATATACTATATATCTATATGATAACTATATCATATATATAGTATATATTGTGTATATATTATGTATATTTTGTATATATAATATATATAATGTGTATACACACACACATAGGAGTCCTGCACTGAGAAATGGGAGGGAGAG